GCAACAGCCGAGACCTAGGGTTTAGGGTTTAGGGTTTAGGGTTTAGGGTTTAGGGTTTAGGGTTTAGGGTTTATGCAGGCTGCCCGGTTTGAGGAATTTGTGGGACAAAAAAGTCGCGAGAGAACTTCGGCAGCTGCAGCGGCTGCAGCAGAAGGTGGAAGAGGCGCAGCAGAATCATTATGCTGATGCAGCACAAAGACAAAAGGCAAACCCTAAACCCTAAACCCTAAACCCTAAACCCTAAACCCTAAACCCTAAACCCTGAACCCTAGGGCCTCTAAGCCCTAACCTGTGGAGGGGTGTTTGTGCCAGCAGTCAAATGTTTTTCACTTTACCGGTCCTGAGCCATAAAGCAAGCTTCAAGTGTCAACATCTAGGGTTTAGGGTTTAGGGTTTAGGGTTTAGGGTTTAGGGTTTGTGTTTAGGCGTTAATAGAAAGCCGCAACACTTCTTCCATTACGGGGGTTTGCGACTTAGAAGAAGTTGATGAAGCAGAAAGACAATTAAACCACCAGGCCAACAGACTGAGGGTTTACAGGACCCGCCGGGCGGTTAGGGTTTAGGGTTTAGGGTTTAGGGTTTAGGGTTTAGGGTTTCGGGGACAGTGTTCGTGTGCGACAGAAGCAGTATCGTCGCTGCTGCTGCTGCTGCGCTGCTGCTGCTGCTGCATCTACTACTGCTGCTGCTGCTACTGCTGCTGCTTGTTCTAGAGCTTTGCACGCCAGCACATTCCGCTGCTGCTGCTGCTGCTGCTGCTGCTGCTGCTGCTGCTGCTGCTGCAGGCAGCCATAGGGGGGTTGATACTGCAGCAGCTGCTGCGGCGCTTAGCAGCAAAGCAGCAGCAAGCAGCAATTACGCGGCTGCGCTCAGGGGGCCCCGCAGAGGGGCAGCTGCTGAACTTGGCGATACAAATGCTGCCAAAGTAAGCAGCAGCAGCAGCAGCAGCAGCAGCAGCAGCAGCAGCAGCAGTAGCAGCAGCAGCAGCAGCAGCAGTAATGAAGTAACTTGGAGCAGCACGGGCAGCAGATGTTGCAGCAGCAGCAGCTTTTCGCCACCCCGAGCAGCAACACCAGCAGGCAGTCAGACTTTGTGAAATTCCCAGCAGCAGCAGCAGCTGCTGCAGCAGCAATAGCAGCAAGTGCTGCTGCTGCTGCTGCTGCTGCTGCTGCTGCTGCTGCTGCTCATAACTCTGCATTTTCACTTCTCCCTCTAAGCTGCCACCTCATCAGAAAGCTGCTGCTGCCCTTGCCACTGCTGCTGCCGCTGCTGCCGCTGCCGCCGCCGCCGCTGCTGCTGCTGCTGCTGCTGCTGCTGCTGCTGCTGCTGCTGCTGCTGCTGCTGCTGCTGCTGCAGGCTGCTGCCTCCGGACTGGCGGGAGCTGGAGGTGGGGCAGCAGGCTTTGCTGCTGCAGAAAGAATACAAATTTATTTTGCGGCCAACGCGGCAGCACTTGGCTAGCTGCAGCGAGCTGCTGCAGATGCACCGGCTAGCTGTGGCTAGCTGCTGCCACAGGCTCCTCACTGCAGAGACAAAAAACAGAAAACTGTAAACCCTAAACCCTAAACCCTAAACCCTAAACCCTAAACCCTAAACCCTTGAGCGCCGCTCGCCCTGCTTCGCCCGCCTCCGCTCTTTCCCGCCTGTGTGACACACTTCCCACACACTGCCCCGCATACGGTTTAGGGTTTAGGGTTTAGGGTTTAGGGTTTAGGGTTTAGGGTTTAGGGTTTAGGGTTTAGCGTCGATGGTTCAGGTTCAGGAATAAGGGTTCACTGTTCCCTCAGCAACATTCCGGGCTCCGGAATCCTGATTTAGGGTTTAGGGTTTAGGGTTTCGGGTTTAGGGTTTAGGGTTTAGGGTTTAGGGTTTAGGGTTTAGGGTTTGCTGCAGGGTGGCTGGATTCGTGGCTCTGGGCTGTTTGGTGAGTTCGCACCGGCGGCTGCAGCTGCTGGAGGCTTTCGGGCGTTTGCGATTTGCTGCTGCGCTGCTGGGGGCTTTGAGGGAAGAAGCAGCAGCAGCAGCAGCACAAGTGCAGCGGGCGAAGCAAGCAGCAGCAGCGGAGGTGTGGGCTTTGCTGCAGCAGCAGGGGCGCTGCAGCACAGCAGCAGCAGCAGCAGCAGCAGCAGCAGCGGGACGCAGCCCCGCTGCTGCTGCTGCTGCTGCTGCCAAAAGCTTCAACGCATGCAAGGCCAACCTCCAGCTCCTCCTCAGCCCCAGCGCCACGCACCAAAGCCCCCAGCAGCAGCAGCAGCAGCAGCAGCAGCAGCAGCAGCAGCAGCAGCAGCAGCAGCAGCAGCGGGGGGAGGGGGCTTTGCTGCCTCCCTCTACCCTCTCCACCCAAGTGCGCGGGTATTCGACTACGGCGCGGCCCTGCAGCGCATGCATTCCGCAGCAGCAGCAGCAGCAGCAGCAGCAAGACACGCACCGCGTGCGCTGCAGCAGCAGGGGCTGCTGCAGCAACGACTGCCACTGCTGCTGCAGCAGCAGCGCCAGCAGCAGC